TTTTTTTTTTTTTTTTTTTTTTTTTTTTTTTGTGTGTGTGTGTGTGATGTGCCATACTTCATAACCTTTTTCCAGCTGACAGTGAATAGATTTCCTAAAAATTCTTCAATTCAGAATTCCTTATAAATTTTGGGTTAGGGTATTTTCTAATATAAAATCATGAGTGAACAATTTTGCATTTAGGAATTGGACTCCTCTCTAACAACCTGAATTAATAACATTCTTTTTTCTTGTGTTTAATTTCTTGAGTTCCTATAAGTTACCTACACTGCTTTTCTACTGTCTTTCCTAGGAGCTGGAGGCTGGTCCCCTCTGGACTCCAACAAGCAGCAGTGGCTCCAGGTTGATCTTGGAGACAGAGTGGAGATTGTTGGGGTCGCTACCCAGGGCAGGTATGGGAGCTCTGACTGGGTAACCAGCTACACACTGATGTTCAGTGACACCGGTCGCAACTGGAAGCAGTACAGAAAAGATGACACTGTTTGGGTAGGTGTGAACTCGAGATACCTTTTAGATTTTCTGGTTCAGGCTCAATAAGGAATTTGGAGAAATGGCTTCAGTTTCTGATCAGAGAACTGGGATAGCAATAAGGAAAGCAGACGTGAATGAATTTACGGGCTGTTTTGATCTAGCCTGATTGTGTCTTCATTTCCAACTGTGTAATATATGTTTAGGCCCTCAGGACTACGTTGTTTTTCAAATTATGAGGATACTCAGGACACTTGAAATGACCTGCATGCTTCTGTGTCTGGCTGGCTTTGATTCAGGCACACCAGACTAAATGGGAGCTAATCACATAGGTACTTTCTCTGAGAAGTATGGAAATTAACTCAATTTTATGCACACTTGCTGGTCAGAACAACGGCACGCATGCTGGGGGAGGCGGATGGTAAATTGCTCCTCAGCTTGAGAAAGTTAGAACTACAGCATGACTTGTAGGATGATTTAGCAGATGAACTGAAAGTGCTCAAGGCTTTTCCTAAAATTTTTATGAAGGAGTTGTACTTGCTGTGTTGCAGGTTTAATGTGTGGCCATAGCAGGTGCAGTTGGCAAGTCTATGTGCCATTAGCAGTACCACCTCATATGTGAATGGAGAAGCTTAAAATATAATGTGGAAAATATGAATTGTTAGTGAGTTTTTAATGAGCTGTACTATCTTCTCCGTACTGTGTTCGCTGTTGTGAGGATCAATAGCTTTGGTAGCATGGCAGTATTTGGTGGTTAATGAAGTATATACTTCATGAATATAAAAGGGAATATTATAAGGATGATCAAGTAAACTTCTGGCTTTGTCGTATTCTTTTTTTTTTTTTTTTTTTTTTTTGGCTGACACCTTGATTAAACATTGTGTTACAGAAGACTATTCCAAAACATACTGATGTTGAGTTAGGAGAGTTGAGGATCAGCAGGAGGAATGGAGAAGGGCTCCATAATTCTTTTCTTGCGCATGTTGCAGACATTTGAAATGCATGTATAGGAAGGTCAACTTCTGTGGTTTCAAAATCCACTGCATTATCACTGTCTTTGTTTTATCATAGTTTGATTTAGGGAAAGCTAATGAAAGCTGGCTTTCTTTAGGAGAATATTTTGGTCCAAAGATGATCATAAAATTGTCAAGTGTGGCTCTGCTTCATGTGTCACTTAAGTTATATTATGTTAGCTTCACTCCCACTAGGTATACTTTTAAAAAATGTTTTAAAACAATGAAATTTCATTCTTAACTGAATATAGTTGAGAACTTAATCTAGTACTGGACTGGGGACTGGGAACACAGGTGAAGGCAAATCCTGTGCTGCCAGAAGGGGTGGAGCCTGGCTCTACCTCTCCTAGCCGCATTTAAGAGCTGACTACCAGTGGGAAAAGATCTCTTCTGGAGATCCCTCCTCTGGAGTTTTGCAGTAAGCCTAGGACGTAGGTAAGCATTCTATCTATTCTCTCTTTGATACTGTAACCTGCTTAGCCAAACTCTCTTGTTTATTTCATAATTATAACATCTTTATATTCATTGATTATACACAACTAAAGAAAAAATTGTTTTGCTTTTTTTTATTTCCTTGAAACTTTCGGAGATCTGTGCTGTTCCAGACTATGTGTGGGCAGTTCTGTGACTCATGTCTCAGAAAGGGCTCTGAAACCTAAGCCATCATTGCTTGAGGTTTCTGACATGGATTTTGCTGCTGCATCAATATAGGATATTGTTATGTGTTGGATCTGTTAGGGTCCGTGATACAGCGTTCAGGTGTTGTTTTATTTTGCTGGAAGTTTGTGTTTGATGTATGGCTGTTACTGAATGCCTTTCACCAAGAAGGCATTATCTAATGCCTTGTTGATAATTAGTCACTTATTGCTGTTGGGAGTGGGAATTATGTATCAGTGTAAGGGAGCTATTTGGTCTGGTAAATCAATTTTTTTTTTTTTTTTAAAGTAGTGGAGCTTTGTTAGGAGCAGTCTGATAGAATAATTATTAATTGAAGTGGAAAGAGAGGTGTAGAAATTACATTTGATAGTTATCATTTGTTTCTAAGTAGAAATGTGTGGCTTCTTTCATTTTCATTCGTTTCCATATCAGTAAAGGAAAGCAGGGTCTTGAAATGCCTTCTCCACTCTGTTAGAGTAAAAATGACATGAATTCTTAACATATTCTCAACCCTAATCAGATTGAAACTCCAGTTTTTCCCAGTCTATCTGCATGACCCAAAGATAAAGTTATGGTGCATTACCAGCTGCTTTTAACGTAGTGCTCTCAAAGAAGGGTTTACTGGCACAGCCCTTCCCCCCTGCATGTTATGGGCCATCAGCCACATTTGGTGGAATTAGCCAAATCCCTGAGTAAATTTGATCCTGGATGAAACTTTTCATGATAATTTCTTCATTAATGTGTGATATTCCCTATTGCAAGTCGTTCTCCTGAGTTGTTTTCAGCCATTGGGGTATAGGTTTTGTCTGCCCAAGTAGTGTATGTGACCTTCAATGCATCTGAGACCTCGGTACAGAAGGTCTTTATTGGGCTGCAGTTAAGACAGATGTTTGCACACCAGTTCATATGACCATATCACTAGTTTAAATCCCTTTCTGTTCATAGATATTACAAGGCTTGCAGGGCGCATTATCCTCCTCTCAAAGAGCTCATACAGCTCCCATCAACTTCACCATTAATGAGAGCACTGCACAGACAGATCGCGAGGAGAATCGGAAAACCTCTTACATTTTCACTCAGCTTGTGTTTATGATGTTAGTAAATTCTGCAGCTGGAGTTGAAGACAAGACAGATTAGCCATTTAAAACCTATTTTCTACCCCCATTTGTATTTAAATAATCTTGTTACAAAAGGACTCTGTGGTTCAGAACAAACTAGGCTTATAATTATGTTTTCAATATGGATAAATCAGCTGTGTGTGGACACACTAGCTATTGATTGGGAGACATAAAACATAAATCTTATGACTTGTAACAAGAAAATGATTTTTCCAATGTTTTTAAGTGTTGAATAATTCAGAATTTTACTTTACCTGCATATGTGCTGCAGCTTGAGTTGGTCCAAGTTATATACATTAGTGGGACAAAATATAATGCTATTTCTTTTTAGGTAGCAATTTTTATGCCATTTGTATTGAGAAAGCTGAAAAACACAATTATACAAAAAGATACAAAGAAATGGAGGGAAGGATGCATAGAAGTATGTAGTAAAAAGAGAAAAGGGATATTATTCAGTAATGGTTTTGAAAAAAAAGAATGGAACTGGAAATGAAGTGAGACTGTTCTGAGTGTCAGAGCTGGTTCTTATATCGGGACTATGAAGCTATGTGGAAAATAGCATAGTTAGCAAGGAGATACTCCACACTCTGCTCAGATAATTGCACTAATGAAGTACATGTTTGAGTTCCCTGTTAGATGATGAAGTTCTTCCACTGTGAACAGCAAGTGGAAGGGACAAGATGACTTTGGGTGGAAGCAGGGAACAGTGAGATCACAAGACAGGAAGAGCATCTGTGGTGCTGGACAATGATACCTTGTTCACAAGAGGTATAGAGCACAACTTACGTCAAGAATTGCTATAACATCAGCCCTACATCTTGCGAGTGCTTATGAGAGGACTGACAGGAGGCTAAGGATGCCTTAGAATATGTAACTCTCAGGGGAGTAGGAAGAGTCTTTAATAGAGGTGATAAAGATCCTTTGTGTCCTCTTTCCTCAGGAAAACCCTTGCATGTGTGAGATTTTGCTGAATCAGAGGCTTTTCTAATGAAATCTAGAGGAGGGTCATTTTTAATTGGCTTATAAATCTACTGAAGTGCTGTAAACTTTTCCATTTCCTCTCTAGCTGGATGATGATTGTAGAACTGTTTGGTGAGTTAATTATTGTCAACGCAGTTGGAATATTAATCCTCTTGTCAGATTTATAGTTGCACTGATGTGTTCTCAACTATTTTTTAGCTCCAACTCTTGTTGCCCTCCAAGCAAGATAAGAGCAAAATTCTACCTGTAGTAAAGACAGGTCCTACATAGTTTACTTAGATGAGAGAACAAGTTTGCCTTTTTATAGTGTTTCATAGTGTGCTAGTATTCTGATATATTTAATCTCCTTTACACATAGTAATTATTGCTAGGCAAGCAGGTGTTAAAAAAATATCTGTGGATTATTTTCTCTTTAATTGCAATTTTCTCTCAGAAGTGGAAAAGGTGAAGTCAAGAGAATTTAATGCAGATATTAACACAATGCCCATCACAGATGTTTTTAGTAATTCTCTGTGCTTGGTATGTGGCATCCTAACCCAGGAAATGGCAAGAAATATGGCTATGTGCAGGCATTGGCTTAATTACTGACTTCCTAAACCTGTTTGCATGTTCCCAAAAAATTACCTATTCTGTAACTGTTCAGCTCAGAATGGCGATGGAAGCACCACTTGCATTCCAATTTCATACTTTTAGTGGAGAGCTGTGGTTGGACTCAATAATTTTAGAAGTCTTTCCCAACCTCAATAATTCTGTGATTCTATCCCTTAATTTATTGAAGAACTGGTCTCTTCAAAAGCCAAATGATATCTCTTGACACTACTCCAGTGTGGTTGCAGTGCTGTTTTTTATCAGATTAGAATGTGAAGTGGTCATGTATGGTTCTGGTTGTTTTAGACTGATCATAAAATATTTGTGTCCTCCAAGGATCTTCAGCAGATTTGTGTGCCATAATCCCAAAGCAACTCTTTTCCCTTCCTCGCTTCCAAGAAGAGAGTAAATGATCATGGCAGTGTGTTAATATGCCCTTTGTGGTAAACAGTGAACATTTCCTCTCAGATGAAGGATTTCAACCATATCGCTAGATCAAATCTCTTTACTATTTGCAAATCATATTCAATGGCATGTGAAGCTATAAATACGTGCCTTTACAAATTATAAATAAATATGGAACAAAAAAAATGTTTCAGTCCACTTTCACCTCCGGTGAGCAAATGACCGCTTGCATATGGACTAAAATGAGAAAGCAGCA